GAACTGCTCAACAAGGATCCTGGGAATTGAACCCAGGTCTTCTGCAAGAACAATATATGCTCTTAACTGCTGAGCCATCTCTTCAGCCTCACAATATTATTTTTAAAAACTAAAGGAAACACCTGATTACTGTAGAATAGCCAAACAATCAAACAATTGATTTGTAGACAGTGCCTCGCTCACTGCCCTCTCTGTCCCCGAGCTGACCACCGTCTCCTAATCTACCCTCTCAGGCCTGTGGAGCCCACTGTTTCCTCCTCCTTTCTCTTGCCGGTGTGCAGAGCTTGCAGGTCCTGTAGCCGTGAGGGGTTTTCTCTTAATCATTAGCATTTTGGGAATCGGGACTCTGTAAATTGTCTGCATTTATTTATGGATCTGGGAAGAGCCAAATCTTGGAGTGCCATTACTGCTGTCAATTCTCAAAACTCCTCCTTCAGTTTTTCACACATGTATGTAAAATATGTAGTTTCTGTGTTTTGCCTACACACATGCATTGTAATTATATATATATGGACATACTTAGAAACATGCACATAGAGGGGCTCGAGAGATGACTCAGTGGTTAGAGCACTGGCTCAATAATTGAACCAGTGGACCCAGGTTCAATATTCAGCACCTACATGGAGCTCACAACTATCTGTAACTCCAGGCCTAGGGCATCCAACACCCTCTTCTGGACTCCTTGGGCACTACATGCAAATGGCACACAGGCATAAATGCAGGCAAAACACCCATGCATATAAGAATAAATAAATAAACAAGTAAATAAATTTAAAATACACATATGTACATTTTTCTTGTTTAAAAAAGTAACAGTAGATTGATTTTTATGTGTCTGTGTGAGCTTAGTATGCATGTGTTCATGTATATGTATGTGTATGTGTGTCTGGTATGTATGTATTCATGCATGGGGGTGTGTGTTTGTCTGGTATGAATGTGTTCTTGCATGAATAAGTATATGTGGGCCTGTTTTGTATTCACGTGTTCATATGTGGGCATGTATATGTGTGTATTTGTGTGTAAACCAGAGGTTAATGTTGGATATCTTCTTTTTTTAAATCTCTTTATACTATTGTGTGTGTGATGTATGTACCTGTTCATAGAGGTATATATACATGTGCATGTTGGTACATGTAAATGTGTATGTGGATACATGTGGAGGTAGACTGATATTTTCTATATTGCTGATTGGTAGGTGTGTGAATCACTCTATTTTGATAAAAAGAATAGTACTTAATACAAGTTTATGCTTTCTCTGTGTTTGCCAGACATGTGCTATTTGTTGCCATGTTCTCAATCACTGTGCTGTCCATAACCATAATCCATTGCCTTGAACGTCAGTTTCTCCATCTGAATACTAATAACTGATATCATAGGCTAGGTTATTGGTTCCCTACTGAATACAGTTTCACTAAACATCAGCATTAGGGGCTAGAGAGATGGCTCAGTGGTTAAGAGTACTTGCTGCTCTTGGGGAGGACTCGGGTTTGGTCCCCAGCACCCAGGTGGAGGCTCACAACTGTCTATATAACTTCAGTGCCAGAGGATCTGGTGTCCTCTTCTAGCCTCCTCAGGCCCCAGGCATACATGCAGTACATATATAGATATACACACAAGCAAAACACTCATACCCATACAATAAAAATAAATCTTCCTAAAAACATCAGCGTCAAATGTCATCATTCCCCGACAATGGCAGATTACAATAGAAACAGGATTGCTTTGCCAGCCATGAAAGATGACCTGGTATCCTCCCTCACAGCTCATATGAGTGACTCAGCTTCTTTACCAAGTGTCAACACTGGGTTCTCTTTATTTTTCCAGACTATGGATAAAAATTAAGACACTGAATCATCAGATCACCCTAACTTCTCAAGAGGACCCAGTCCAGAGTAGAACACTGCTTCCCTACTCCCTCAACTCACCCCACAAACCCACTTAGCTCCCTCCTCCTGGCACTCCCTGAGCTCCCATGGAACGTGGATGCTCTCACTGGAACCAGTGTTGTACCTGATCTCATGGGATTACAGACATGTTCCTGGCAGATGCTGAGAACTAGCTTTTATGACAGACACTTTTCAGAGTTCCTATTTATGGTTGAACTTGGAAACTGCCCATTGCCACGTGTTCTGGAAGCATATTCCTGTTTGAACAAGCCATGGAAAAGAGTAATATAAAAACCTTATGGATTCAAGGTTCCCTAGACTTTGCTGTGCTTAGATCCAAGGCAAATAAATGCAGCCCTGTAGCTCCCCTCTTCTTATGGAGGTGAATAGATGAAGACTTCCTCACAGACTCTTGTCTTCTTCCCATCCCACTGCACACAACTTCCAACTTGAAGTCTGGAGCTAACCCAAACCTTCCCAGCTGTGCACAAAGGCATACCCCACATTTTCCCCTGTCAGATGGCCCTGAACCAGTTCATCCACAATGGCCAGCTCTGTAGGGGAGTGGAGAGAGGAATAAACCCTCTTCCTAGACATACCAGTGATATCATTCCTTCCTCCCCCAGGAGGGCCCATGGCAGTCACAAGCAGAACATCCACAATGTCCAGCCTGTTGGTATCTTTCTTGTCAAACCAGTAGCCATGGTCAATCCATTGTCTCAGCAGTTCGATGGGGGGCTGGGCTCCATACACCTCTTTGGCTGGCATGTTGAGGTCATCTGTAGAAGGAAGCCACAGCCACACACACTGTGAGTTCATGGGATTGTCTGGTCTTACAGGGGTAACCAATGACTGTTACCTTCATGAGAAAGTCTGTTTCCAATGACCCTACCCCATTCCAGACCCAGTCAGTAGATATCCTGACTAGATGGGAAAGGAAGGCTCTTCTTGGGTCTAGACTTTGCTATCTTATTGAAGTCCTTGCCCATATGCTATAGGATACATGGGCTGACATCAACACATGAGGATTTAACTTTCCCCCATTTTCCTTAGCCAACATACGCTGACTACTGTACCACAGACATTTTGTTAATTGCTAAGCATATAACAGTGTAGGGGCTGCCAAACATTTCCTTTTGTTGTGTTTTCTGTCTTGAGATGGAGTCTTGTGGTACTAGCCAGGTGCTGTCTGCCAGCTAACACAGAATTTTTAGTGAGATGGGGATTGAACCCAGAACCTCTGTACACGCTAAGGAAATTCTGTACTATTGAGTAAGAACCTTTTCTCCCGATTGGGCATTAAGTCAACATGCAATAGCTGAACTCTGGTCAGAGCAAGGCTTTGAACTAGGGCCTCTCATGAGACTCAAAATGGCAAGAAAGGGTTACAGGTTCTCTTAAGTGCAAGAACATTTTCCTCCTGGGACACATTGCTCTGTCTTGGTGCATAAGAAACACCGGGCCAGTGAAGGTCCTCTTCATTTCTCTTCAACAGTTATTGATAGGATGATCAGCTTGTGTGAGTCAACATTTTAGGAACTTTAGACAAATTAGCTCATTTAAATGCAAACATTACCCATGTGTTTGAGGTAAAGAACTGACCCTCAGATCAGTGAGGCTAAGTCAAACTATATCTAGGGTTGAAAATAGATACAGCAACCCAGTTTGGTTTAGCTGCAAGGCTTAGGCTGGTTTTGGATACATCATAAAAATAGGGTGAGAGACCTGGATGGAGGAAAAAAAGGAAAGGCAGAAAAGAAAGGAAAATAAAACAGATAAGATTCCTGCCTTTCAGGAGATGATGTGCACCCATAAAGATATAAATATAGCCATGAAATGTGTATTATTAATACACAAGTTTCAAGTACAGAACACAGGATGACCCAAGACAGCAGGGGCATTATGAGTACCTCCTGAGTCAGCAGCCAGGCTAGTACAATCATAATGATGATTAATCTCTTTCGGTTCTGAGACCCAAATGGGAAAAAAAGAAAAAAAAAAAAAGAAGAAGAGGAAGTTTTTTGCACAAAGTGAACGCTGAGAAAAAGTCTATGTTCTTACTTCACAAACATTTTCTTAGCAACTATTGGGTTCCTTCACTTAGTGACAGCCACTTATCTGTTGTCACTTAGTGATAACTCACTTATCTGATGCAAATGGACACAGATGTTACTTCTGGAGGTGTCAGACTTTAGCTGCCATCACCACAGTCCCCGAGAAATACTGTTCACTACAAAGAAGGAGAAGGAAAAGCAGAGAGGAAAGGAGGGACAGAAAGGAAGGAAGAAGGAAGGAGGGAAGGAGGGAAAGAGGGAGGGAAGGCAGAAGGAAGTGAGAAGGAGAAGTGGTGATGGAAGAAAGGCTAAAACATCTGCTGGAGAGTGGGGAAGCTCTGGCTTGCTGCAGCTCGGATACAAGAACTTGGTCTACCCGGACCCGAGCCAATGCCTTACCTACAAACACCACTGCTTTCTTCCCTATGGGAGGCCCGAAAAGGCCTTTCCGCCGACGATCCAGCTTGGACATGATGATATCCTGGGTCTGGTTGGCTGAAGTTCTGGCAGAGAAATTGATGAAGTTGGGCAGATAGACATTTTTGGGAAGGCGGAGGAGGAAGTTGTTGGTGATGGCTGATTTGCCCGTGCCTGTAGGGCCCACGAACAGTATCGGGATCTCATGGTCCAGGTAGGTTTTTAAGAAGAAGGACTGCCGGGCAGTTTCCATCGTGGGGATGATGAGGTCTGATACCTGTGTCGCAAAGATATGAGAAAATCTTGGTCCTGGACCAGGAAGACTGAGTCTTGGGATTCAAGGGATCTGGGTTTGAACGATAGCTCCATTTACTATCTTTATGACTTTCAAGGGCCCTCAGTTTTAGTTCTGAAATGGGGATAATCATGGCATTCAATACACGGTTGTCAGAGATCAAATGGGACCCAAAACACAAAGGTGAGTGCTATTATCCCTGAGGAAGCAGAGGTACAGAAGTCTTCTTCAATTTGCCCAAGAGACATAGGACATAAGTGGAAAGGAAGGGATTTGAATTCTGGCTTGTATGATTCCATAGTCTACATTCTTAATTCTAAACTGGCATAAAAATCAATAACAATAAGGGTCAGTGTTTAGCTTCTACCTTTGAGACTTCCTTTCAACCAAGTAGTCTGCCTTGTCTCAAGCAAGATCCACCTTCCATGTGCCACATATTCTGGCTCGGAGGTTTAGGTATGTTTTGGTTTAGGCCTGGAATATCTCCAAAAGACTCATTGCTGAAGGCTTGGTTTCCAAAGGAGAAATGTTCAGAGGTGGGTTTTTGTGAAGTACGTGGATCCTGAGGGCTCCGATCCTATCAGTAGATTAATCCCTTGATGGGTTCATGACTCATTGGTTTATTGGAGGGTAGAGGGGGTCTTTGGAGCTCATTTTTCAGGGTTATCTCCTGTCCCTCTCCTCCTTTTCTCTCTCTGCTGCCTAGGTGTCATGAAGTGAGGAAGTTTTCTCTGCTGAGCCCTTGCACAGTAATGTTATCCCTTAACACCAGCCATGTGACGATGGGACCAAGAAAGCACAGCATAAACCCATCAGCCAAATAATAGGCACCTCCTCCTCTGAGTTGACTCTCCCAGACAGTCTACCACAGTGACACAAAGTTAATGCAACATGAGTCAGAGACCTTTCTTATACCTGGCCTACATTCCCCAACATTGAGATTCTGGGTCCCGAAAACCTGTGCTCACTGAATCCCTCATGTTTTTAATATGAAAACTGAACACATTCTTCCTGGACCTGAGGATTCTAAGTGGATTTGGAGACCTCCATCATGGCTTCTGGAATCCTTATTACTTTGGGTAGACTAAATTGAATTTTCTGAGCCCCAACCCTGTTTCAATCATTTTGTTACAACTGATCCCTTGGTGGGTCAGGGCAAGGGATTGGAAGATGTTTATTAGACATAGAGGTCTCATATGTCTGGTTTGAAAAGGAGTCATGGACTTGAGCTGCTGTGTTGGAGTACCATTCACACTGTGGTTTGTAAATACACGTTGCTTCCCAAAACTAACCTTGACCTTGACTTGGGTGTCACCGAATCTACAAATCTTGGAAGCCTTTGCAAACAAAAGCTTGGCTTCTTTAGAGAAACAATTTGGCCAGGTGAAAAGAAGCAGATGGATATGGTCATAAGGCAGAGAAGAGAATGATCAAGTCTAGCAAGAGGATGCAGTCATGCCTGTAGCATCCTGAAGGCTTCCCTGGAACCTTTTAAGACATGATAAAACAGGTTGCAAGCAGGCCAGGATTCTCCATGAAGCCACACTCCCCATTAGTGATGCTGAATGCAGAACCATGTTCAAGATGCCCATTTTACAGCTGAGATCAGAAACTTAAAGCCAGCTGGCTTTCACCCAGTATTATTTTCAGCTACTTGAACGATTGTTTGACAAGGGGAAAATACCCATTGGAGCTGAAAATACTTTCTACACCGGGCTCCTGTCCATATGAATTTAGTACAAATTCAAATCCCTGGAATTCACACAGCAGAGCTGTATAAGGACAATTAAAGCTGAGGATCTCGGCACTGGGCTTTCTTTCCACACCAGCCCTTAGGGTGTATGCCCCGAGAGCAGCAGAGTGTCACCCTGCCTAAAGCATGTTTATGAGAGCATCTGGGTGGTATCCAACAATAGCTTCACATTTCCATCTGCCATCTGTGACTGCATTCAGAAGAGCTGCACACTCACCTCAGAAGATTAAATAACATCTACTAGGTTATACTGATGGAGGCACCAGAGTGCTCATTTTGCATATTCTCTGTAGGACTGAAATATATGTGAATTAGCCACTATCCAGAAAATCCATTGACTAGAATCTGTTTTTCTGAGAGGTCTGTGGAGGAAATCTTTCTCTGAGGATATAAAGTGGACTTTTAAGGCTTAGGTGACCAAGAGGTAATTATGATGTTATAGACAATGGCATTAATCAGAATAGTGACAAACACCTATCTAACTCCTACTATGTGCCACATGGGTGTGTATACCACCTTCGGTCCTGCTTATCTTTTTTTTTTTTCTTCCATCTATGGTTGGGTAAACTGAAGCAAGGAGCTTGAAGCCTCCATAAGGAATCTAGGTCTCTCTGCTATTAAACTCTATGCTTTGAGGGTTTGATCTTTGCAAAGTATTTCCTGGAAATGCTCCCAGGGAGCTCGTAGTTCTTCCACCTGGAAGGGCACTTGGGAAATTCCAGAAACCACAGCATTTCTTTTACCTTTGCATTTGCAGGGATAGTCTCCTCCTCTTTGGTGATATACTCTGTCCATCCACTCCAGTGTCCACCACCTTGTTTGAAGAAGTAAAAATCATAGATGCTTCCTGCACCCAAAGAACAGAACATGTCATTGGCACACCAAGGTTAACTTTCATATTTGAAGAATCTGACTGCTCCAACTATAGGCATCTAAAACGCATAACTACCAGTCCCAGAAGAAGTGTGGTGACACTTACCTGTCACTGCTAACTACAAACTGGGGGGAAAAGTTTAAAAGACCAGTGTCTATATGACCCATATAAAATGAGAAGTAAAGATAAGATTATGTAAAATTTTCTTGTTTGTATTCTTTGAGACAGGAATCTGCTCTGTAGTAATGTTCAGTTGCATTAGACTTGGACTCGCTATGTAGCCGAACCTAGCTTACAACTTGTTTTTAAAAGTACATGCATTTGTTGAATTACCTGTGGGGTAGGGTATGTCACAGCATGGGTATGGAGGTTGGAGGACAATGCATGGAAGTCAGTTTTCTGTTTCTAGCATGTTCATCAAGTGCTGAGCAGAGAGAGTTTTCCTAACATTTCTTCTCCCTCTGTTGCTGCTACATTTATTTCTTTCTCCTCTTTGACTTTTTTCATTTTAAAAATGTCTGTTACTGAGAACTTAGCACCAACTTTCTGAGGTTATTTTCTTTTTCTTTTCTTTCTTTCTTTTTTTTCTTTTTTGGGGCTGAGGACCGAACCCAGGGCCTTGCGCCTGCTAGGCAAGCGCTCTACCACTGAGCTAAATCCCCAACCCCCTGAGGTTATTTTCTTAATTACAGCTCTGATAACTCCTGCTCACTGGCATCCTCACACCATGCTAACCCCACTATGATAGACTTCATTTTTTCCCCCTTGTTCTGTTTTGGTCAAGTTTCTTATATTGCTTTGCTGTTAAAGATTTTCAGCCATTGTCCACCTCTTCTGATAGCTGCAATCCAACTTTTCCATGAACTCCCTGAGAAGTCTAATACTGCTCTGGCATTTCGACTGCTGTCTTCCAGACATCCAAGTCACTCTTTGAGTCTTCTAAAAAAATTTTTTTAAAAGATTCATTTATTAGCCGGGCGGTGGTGGCGCACGCCTTTAATCCCAGCACTCGGGAGGCAGAGCCAGGCGGATCTCTGTGAGTTCGAGGCCAGCCTGGGCTACCAAGTGAGCTCCAGGAAAGGCGCAAAGCTACACAGAGAAACCCTGTCTCAAAAACCAAAAAAAAAAAAAAAAAAAAAGATTCATTTATTTATTATGTATACAGTGTTCCGCCTGCATGTGTCCCTGCAGGCCAGAAGAGGGCACCAGATCTCATTACAGATGGTTGTGAGCCACCATGTGGTTGCTGGGAATTGAACTCAGGACCTCTGGAAGAGCAGCCCCTCTCTTAACCTTTGAGCCCTCTCTTCAGACCCTTCTAAAATTTCTATAGATTTACCTCTTGCATTTAGGCCTGGTGTATTTTTAATTAAATTTTGATATGGAATAAAGTAAAGGTTAAATTTATTTTTTTACACACATATATTCAGTTGTGCTAACACCATTTGCTGAAAGATTATTTTTCCTATTTAATTATCTGGGCACCATTGTCAAAAATTAAGTCACCATAAACATGAGTGTGTATATTAGGTCTCAGTTCCATTCAGCTAAACTGCATAATCTTTTTTACCAGTGTCCCATTCTATCTATCAGAACTTGGATCATCCTCTCCCTCTCTCCCATCCCCCCCCCCCTCCAAATGCCGTATCTCCCTGCTGTAATATAACCAGGTAAACTCTTCCCTGGGACCAGTTCATCTCACCCACTTTCTTGGGGATCGTTCAAGGATCAATACGTGGCAGTGGCTGCTGCAAGGGTCAGGTTAAGGGAGACAGTCACCTTTGCTAGACACTCTGAGTGCTGCACTTTCCCCCTGAAACCTACCCAGATTCTGAGTCATGAACTCATTGTTTCCCACCTTAGTTAAAGTGTACTCTACTCCCACGAGTTCAACTCACATCCATTTCAGCATGATTTTATGATATGCCAACTGACCCCCCCCACTGAGGCCCTCCAGCATTATGACAGGATTTCCCCAGTTCTCTTGGCGTGTGTGTGTGTGTGTGTGTGTGTGTGTGTGGTCATTTTAGTTTTACCAACAGCTTTTTATTGCTTATTTCTTTTATGTATATGTTTGTGGGGTGTATATGCATGTGTGTGTTACATATGTGTGTGCTTGTGTGTGTGTGTGTGTGTGTGTGTGTGTGTGTGTGTGTGCCTATGGCCCAAAGTTGCTATTGAAAATCATACTTGATTTCTTCTCACTGGTTTTGAGGAACACTTTCAATCAAGCCCAGATATTTCCAATATGACTAGTCTTCTTAGCCAGCTCGTTCTGGTGATCCACTGTTTCCAACTCTGAGGCTGGAATTACAGATGACCTGCCACATTCACTTGGGGATTTTATGTGAGTTCTGGGGACCCAAGCTTCAGTCCTCTTGCTTGTGTGGCAAATCCTTGAAGCACTGAGCCATAGCCCTGCCCACTAAAGCCCTTTCTGAATCAACACTATGAGGTGGTTACAACTGTGGAGTATATGAAGAAGCCAGTTGACCATGTATGCTGGCAATTCTGGTTTCTTGTGTGTTACAGCAGTTGATGGGACAAAGAGGAGGAGAGGAGGTCACCAGAGTGCACATGGACATTACGGAAGAGGTTCTTGGAAAAGATTGGAAACTCTCTAGGTCACTGGCCTTCTTGATGCAGAGGAAGGGAAGATGTCATGAGGAGTGGGCCATGAGTGGAATCAAAGGAGACTCATGAACCATGTCTGCAGACACAGAATAAACAGACTGGCCTTGAGGGCTGAGGAAAGCAGAACAATATCTGGAAATGTGTGGAAAGAACAGTGTGGAGGCCGACCTGAGGAGTGTATCTCTGAAATGTGTTCAGTGTGTGACTGACTGGCATCAGGAAATGACGTGGCATCCTCAGGGGGTGCAAAAGGTATCAGTTTAAACAAAAATGAAACAGGAACAGAAAATCATAAGGAGAAAATAAGCTGAGATGAAATGGAAAGATGAGATCCAAAGTGAGATGTCCAGTCTAACAGGAACAAGGACAATGGTGATAATTATATATAACAACTGGTAACACGTGGTTAACGCTATTACATGATATCTCTGTGAAACTGTAACAATTATACTATATATTATATAACATCATTAGACTATAAGGAATCTCAAGTATTTTTTATGTATTTGTTCATTTAATTCTTCCAGGAACACCACAGACACGCTCTATTATTGCTGGACATATCTTAGACTGTGGAAACGGAGAGGGGCTAAGGAATTTGCTTCAAGTCCGCCAACTAGTAAGTGTGGGAGCCAGAATTCCAGCCTCGACTGTTTCATTCTGGACTCTGTGTTTTTTTTTTTTTTTTTTGGTTTTTCGAGACAGGGTTTCTCTGTGTAGCTTTGCGCCTTTCCTGGAGCTCACTTGGTAGCCCAGGCTGGCCTCGAACTCACAGAGATCCGCCTGGCTCTGCCTCCCGAGTGCTGGGATTAAAGGCGTGCGCCACCACCGCCCGGCTTGGACTCTGTGTTTTTAACTGTTACTTAAAAAAAAAAAAGGGCAGGAGCAAAATAGGCAAAGGTTTGATAAATATTATTCAAGGTGAGCAGGAGACTAATTGAATTTGTGAGTGGCTGATATTAAAATAAAAACCCACCTTAGAAGGACAAACAACAAAAACAAGGAAATCTGATATAATAGATACAGACGCCTGAGAATACAGTTTTCCCTTGCTGACTAAACAGAGGCATCACATTCCAGGCAGAATAAATAAAAGGAGACCTATGTCTAGACATAGTCTGTCAAAACAAAACAAAACACAACCTATAATAGAACATTAAATAAAGAACACATGAGAAACAAGCTACCACTATATATAAAATCCAGCCTCACTTCTAACTAGACAGAGAAGAAATTTTAATCACATTCTGTTTTCACATTTCAAATGTGACTAGAATGACAAAGCGCACAAGGAAAAATGGATAGAGTGCTAAGAAGAAGTGAGCAAATCCACATTATAACTGGGGCCATTCGATAAGTTCTATTAGTCACCGATAGTGAGAAAATGAGTCAGAGACAGTTAAAATGAACAGGACCATCATAAACCAACTGAACGCAATGGGACTTATAAACCACTTTATCTGAAAACAGCAGACAGTGCATTCTTCTCAGACGTACACGGGACGTTCACCAAGACAGCCCACATTATTTGCTGTAAGACATTTTGACACATTTAAAATAATAGGCATCATACAGTACACACTTCTGGAACACAGAATTAGAATGGAAACCGGTGAGAGAAAGATGGCTAGAAAATCTTGAAGTCCTTCAAGAGTAAATGGAGCCGACACACCAATCAAAAAAGTTCCAAGGTCTGAGGAGATGGCTTGGAGCTTAGAGGTTAAAAGCATTGCCGCACAGCCAGTAACAGTGAAGACCAGAGTTCGGATCCCCAGCACCCATGGAATGCCAGGTTGGGTGTGGTGGCTGCCTGTAATGTCAGCACTCAGAAGGTGGAGATGGGGTCCCCACAGCAAGCAGGTTAGACAGACTGGCTATACTGGCAAGCTCTGTGAGCAAGCGGGAGACTCTGCCTCAGTGGATAAAGTGGAGAGCAACTGAAGAACACAGCCATTATCAACTGTGCGTCTCTATACACACAGGCACACATGTATCCACAGACACGTCAACATGTATACACATAAACACACCACACACACACACACACACACACACACACACACACACACACACACACACGAGGAGAAAAGTATCAAGAGAAATTTAAAAATATTATGACCTAAGAACAAATTAAAATAGGTTTCAATACCTATGGGATGTCGTGAAAGCGATTCAGAGAGGAGATTTTTAGTGATGATTACATGTATCAGAAAGAGAGAGGTACCTAAAAATCAACAATGGAAGTACATTTTAGGAAACTAGAAAAATAAGGGTGAGTTTAATCCAAAATAAATCATAAAATTATAGCAGAAAACAAAATTGGCAACAGAAAATTACTTGAGGAAAATCTACAAAACCTAAAGCAGTTAATCTTTGGGAAGGTTAATAAAATTGATATACTCTCAGGCCAATGTTACCAAGAACAAAAGAAAAAGACAGACTGTTAATATTGGGAATGAAAGAGAGGTCATTGTTGCCTCCATGGAGATTAAAAGGATAATGAAGGGATCCCATAAATTTGATATTTTAAATAAGATAGGCTTGATTCCTTGAAAGATACTTTATCAAAATCAACATAGAGAAAAATAAATAATTTGCATATGTCCTCGTTCATTAAGGAAACTGAATCCACAGTCAATGCCTCCAAAACCAAAAGCAACCAAACAAAACCAACACCAGCGTCAAGCTAGGATGGGTTCATTGGTGATCTCTACCAAAGGATTTCAGAAAGGATGCCAAGTATCCATCTTCTCTTCTAGGAAACACATCTCTTCCTGTGAGGTCAACATTATCCGAATGCCAAAAACAAAGATCTTACAAAGGGTAACATCCACATCCACAGCCCCCACAAAACATTAGCAAATTGACCAAGTGGGACTGACTACAGGTATGTAAAGCTGGCTCAACATTTGAAAATTGACTGTAACCAAGTTATTAGCATGAAAAAGAAGAAAACTCATATGTCAGATGGTATTTGTAAATATTTGATAAAATCCAACACAAACTAGAGTCATTTGAGAGGAGGGAACCCCAAATGAGAAAACACCTCCATAATATTAGGCTGTAGACAAGTCTATGGGACATTTTCTTAGTGATTGGTGTAGGAGAGCCAAGATCATTGTGGGTGGTGCTATGCCTGGGCTGGTGGTCCTGGATTCTATAAGAAAGCAGGCTGCGCAAGCCATAGGGGCAAGCCAGTAAGAGCACTCCTCCATGACTTCTGCATCAGCTCCTGCCTCCAGGTTCCTTCCCTGCTTGAGTTCCTGCCCCAAATGCTTTTGATGATGAACTGTTATATGGAAGTGTGAGTGAAATAAACCCTTTCCTTTTCAAATGACTTTTAGTCATGATGCTTCATCACAGCAGTAGAAAAGTAACTGAGAGATAGTGGTACTAGGAGAGTTGGGTATTGCTGGGACAGACCTAACCATCTTGTTTTGAGGAGGACTGTGGAAAGGCTGTGGAACTTTGGGCTAGAAAATCCATTGAGTATTGAGAGCTCAGTGGGCTGTGCTGTAGGAGCTTAGATAATAGTGAGAATGTTGATGGAAATGCAAATGATGGAAACTTGGCTAGTGAAGTTCAGAGGGAAGTTTACAAACTTTCTCAGGGCCATTGCTATTTTGAATAAAGAATCTGTGGTATCTGGTCAAGTGGGGCTGTGATTAACAAGAGACCAGCATCATGAAGTGAAACCTGCGTTCTCTTGGGACAGCTGATTCTGGCTACTGGAGCTGAGACATTAGCAGTGATTAAGAGACCAGCACCATTGAGGTGAAATCTCCTGGGAAGTGTTTGCTCAGGAACAATGCAGAGAGGCTCTCTTCTAGAGGTTGCCTAGGCTGTACCTTGTGCTGGCAGTCAAATTTGGTAATGTGTAAGAGACCTACAGATAGTATGCATTTTTACATGAAGGGGTCATTGGAGAGCATTAGAAGTTTGGCATCATGAGGATGGCCTGAAAGATGCTATTGGTGAAAATGCAGCCCAGTTGTGGCAAAAGACCCCAGCATTTCGGAGATGCCAGTATCATGGGAAGACCTCCAAGAACAGGAGCAGCCCTGAGGTAGAGCTGTCCAAAGCTGTGTGTACTACAGAGAGGAGAGGCAGAAAAGTGTGTTTGGAGAAGTCCAAAAGATTATGCACTCACGGTCACAGACACTGGGCGTTGTGTTACTCACACTGTTGGAATTTGGTTTTTCTTTGTTTAGATTATGATTGTGCCCTGGTTCTTCCCCCATTCAATAAGGCATTTAATATTTTTTTATTCTACTGGAGCTCACAGTTGAGAGATTTTGAACTTTTAAAGAGATTTTGGAGTTTTACTGAGTCTTTGGATTTTAAAAGTGACTTTGGATTTTAAAAGGGACTGAACTTTTAAACTATTTGAATTTGCAAGGCTGTGGGACTTTATAAGTATGTAAAATGTCTTATAATGTTGACATTAATGTGCGATCTTGGAAATAGTCAAGAAAGGAAAGGTTATGGCTTAACAGTGGTGTGTTTATGTGTCAAGTTGTCAGGGCATCAATTGTGCTGGTTAGTTTTATGTCAACTTGACACAAGCTAGAGTCAACAGAGAGGAAGGAGCCTCAACTAAGAAAATGTCTCCATAAGATACAGCTGTAGGGCATTTTCTTAATTAGTGATTGATCGGGGAGGACCCAGCCCACTGTGATTGATGCTACCTTTGGGCTGGTGGTCCTGGGTTGTATAAGAAAGCAGGCTGAGCAAGCCATAAGAAACAGGCCATTAAGCACCACTCCTTCATGGCCTCTACATTATCTCCTGCCTCCAGGTTCCTTCCCTGCTTGAGTTCCTGCTTTGGTTTATCTCAGTGGACTATTGTGGTGGTTTGAAAGAAAATGGCTCCGAAAGGGAGTGGCACTATTAGGAGGTGTGGCCTCGTTGGAGGAAGTGTGTTATTGTGGGGGCAGGCTTTGAGGTTTCTTTCTCAAGCTTCCCTCATTGCCACAGCCAGTCAGCTTCCTGTTGCTGCAAGATGTAGCACTCTCAGCTCCAGCACCACATCTGCCTGCACACTGCCATGCTCCGCTTCATGATCAGACTGGACTGAACCTCTTAAATTGTAAGTGAGTCACCCTCAATTAAATGTTTTCCTTTTAAGAGTTGCTGTGGTCATGGTGTCCAGCTAAGTTTCCAACTTGTGGAAAGGAATTAAAGAAAAGTTTAGAGCTGAGTGTGGTGGTGCACACCTTTAATCCCAGTACTGGGAAGGAAGAGGCTGGTAGATCTCTGAGTTTGAGGCCAGCCTGATCTACAGATCAAGTTCAAGGACAGCCAATCTTGGGCATTGAGGGAAAAGAGAAAGCTGGTAAAGATGTAACTGAACAAAGGGGCCAAGTTCCAGTCCCAGTAAGCAGCAGAACTTGGCAGCTTCAACCATGGTTCTGGCTTTAGAGTTGAGGATATACATAAGAAATGGGTTATAGAAGTTGCCTCTGTGCCTAAGGACAGTCACTGAGGCCAGGCATGTGTCAGGGGTGTTCCTGAATGTACACTGCCATGCTCCCCTTCATGATCATAATGTACTGAACCTCTGAAACTGTAATTGAACCACCCTCAATTGAATGTTTGCTTTATAAGAGTTGCCATGGTCACGGTGTCTCTCCACAGCAACAGTAAACCCTAAGACAACTGTGATTCAGGATATGTAAACCAAATAAACCCTTTCCTCCCCAAGTTGCTTTTGGTTATGGTGTTTCATCACAGCAGCAGAAAGTAACTGAGACACTCACTTGTGATAAAACATCTCAGCAAATTAGGAATAAATGGACCATGCTCCAACCAAGAACAGACGCCATCATACTTAAGGCAAGGACTAGCTATCTCTCTCCCAGGCTGGAGCTTTTTCCCTTCTAGGATTATAAGATCCCCTTTCATCACTCCTGTTCAAAGTCATACTAGAAATTCTAGATAATGGAATGAAATAAGGAGATAAAATTTAGGAAGAAATGAAGCTATATGACATGATAAAAGGATGACATGGAAGAGACCCCAAAGAAAATTCTTCTGGAACTTGTATGTCAAGGTTTTCAGGTACAAAGATAGATGCTCTCCTATCTATCAGAAGTGAACATGTAGAATTTAAAATAAAAAACACGGCATTTTATTCACTGAGCCCATCTCGCTAACCCAAAATCAAGTCAATATTAAGCATTTACTACTCTATTAGTAAATATTCACATCAGAGAATATTTGTAGTTATTTTGAAGATAATATAGCAAAATTGTAGCTACTTCAATATATTACATCATAATACAAAGTTTAAAGAAGTATTAATGGCAAATTAAACTAAACAAGAAGCATGTAAACATATAGAATGGGGCTAGAAAACAGAAAAACCAAAATGGAGGTATTTCTTATTTTTACTGGGTAGTGAAATGATGGATAATTTTCACAAAAATAAAACCCTAAAAAAATGACACCCTCAAACACCTCCCAAAATAAACTGTCATTGTAGTTTTATATTTAAAAAGTAATTAAATGTCCCAGAAGACCATATTTTAGAACCACTCATGTCTTATGTGGGTCAGTGAAGAAGGGACCCACCTCGCTCCCTTAGCTTTTGATAAGCACTTCCATGGCCCACACATTAAGTTGGGTTTGGGGCACATGATTTAAATTCATATAACAGGATGTAAGTACCTCTTTCTGGAAAGGTGTTGTTTTTGGTGAGTTTCACACTTTTAGGCCTTGGGTGACGATCATCCATGCCCATGATCAGGTTTCGGAAAAACACATCAAATTTCTTTCTGCTCTCGGCATTGATGGTTCCTGCCACAGTCCACACCAGGGAGAAGAGAAACAGCCCTTGCAGCCAGAGGAAGATCTGCTGACTTGACAGACCTTCATATAACTCGCTTTCCTCCTCCTCTTTCATCCTGATTTCATCTAAAAGTGAAAGAGAGGGAGGCTTAGGTTGAGCAGAATGCTCAGCATGTAAGAGATGAACTGGCTTGGGATGCCTCTGGAGAGCCTGGGAAGGCAACCAATGTTGGCTGAGCATTCATCCCACACCAAACCCTTTATTATATGCATGTATTCACACACATAGTGATGACATGCTAATTTGGCTGTGTATGTCTGTATACAGGATCATGTGTGTGTTCACAAGTCTGAGGGGCTGGGCGGTGGAGGCACACGCCTTTAATCCCAGCACTCGGGAGGCAGAGGCAGGCGGATCTCTGTGAGTTTTGAGGCCAGCCTGGTCTACCAAGTGAGTTCCAGGAAAGGCGCAAAGCTACACAAAGAAACCCTGTCTTGAAAAACCAAAAACCAAAAACAAACAAACAAACAAAAAAAAAGTCTGAGGGTACAGATGGAGGTCAGAGGTTGATGCTGGGTGTCTGCCTCAACTGCTTTTCACTTCATTTTTTGAGACAGGGTCTCTCATTGAACCTGGAGCTTGCTAATTTGGATAGACTAGCTGGCCAGTGGGCCCCAGGGATGTTTTTGTCTCCACCTTTTGAGTGCTGGAATAATAGGCACTACCTACCATGCTTAGCTTTTTACCTGGGTACTGGGGATCTGAACTCAGGTCCTCATACTTGCATGGCAAACACTTTATAGACTGAGCTATCTCCCTGGCCCCTATATATTCTTTTATTGTGGTTAAACATAACAAAGTTTGCCATATTAACCATTAAAGTGTACATTTCAGTGGTTTTCAGTACATTAACATGGGCAGCCATCATTATTATTCATATCCAGTCCTCTTTTATCCAGAACTGGAGCTTGGTACCACTAATAATAACTCATCTTCCACTTCTTACATGACCAGCATCCTACTTTGTCTCCATGTGTGACTACCCTAAGCACATTATAGAAGTCAGATAGTTTGTGATTGGCTTATTTCACTTAGCA